TTATTCAAAGACTACTTCGTGGCATCCTACTTCTGATCTCCTCTACCTCTGTTGTCATTGACCAAGCAACAACAGAAGTAAACCTGAAGTATAATTTCATTTAAAACCGGCTGCATGATCTTGAATCCGTCATTCTCTATCAGCCCAAATTGGATCAAGTTGTGTGACAAGCCACATGAAAAACAAAAACACTGATTGCAACATACATTGATAAGCTTCATTGTAAGAAGCAGTAGGGGCACCAAAAACCCACAATTAAGAATTTTATTTCAATCTTTGTTCTAGATATAATTTTAAGTGTAGCCAGACAGAAATTACATATTTGAAGCAAATCATTATATGGTATATTGCTTTGTATTGTAGTTTTGTAAATCTGGTAGAGTGGCTTATTAAATTAATAAGGTTTAGCACCAGTGAAGGCCATCATAGTGACAAACGGGATCTGCTTACATGTATAATTTAACACTTTAAAGCATCCCAATCGATTTCTTATTCTGAATTTATGTGGAACTGCCCTATCTAAGAAACAATTCTGATTTGTTTTATGTTCATGTAAACAACATAATGCAAGAACCAGAGCAAGGCTACAGAGAGCAATAACTGCTGATTGGAAAATGACAACACTTTATGGGAATTGTTTGCTGTTACATGCATGGTTACAGAATAGCCTTGTTGGCAATTCTGGACAATTAAATGCTTTGGAAAAATGTAATGGGACTTTGTTTCTGCACTGCAGCAAAATTATTGTATAGACAAAGATGAAAAGATTCAGCATTAGCATAAAGGATGAATAGCTGGTGAAGATGACAGAACTTCCTGAGATAGCTAAATTGACTTCTTTGATCTGAGAAAAGACAATATCTACATTTATTCCTGACTTGAAACCTCTTATACTTTGTGAACCCCAAAAAGAAAGAACATGGTTTACAATTTTAATAATTAGACAAAATAACAAAAATAAGAGAGCTATGTTCTAACTATAGGGTAAGGAATAACTTATAATTGTACACACAGCTGCTCTAAAGATTAGAAGTATTTCTTTGTATCTTTTCTTCTTTTTCTATTAATCTTTTCCTTTTCTTGTACTTTTAGTTTTCTGTCCAATTTATTTTTCTCACTTTATATTGGTTGGTATTGTTTTTACTTCCTCTTAAGAAAACTTTTAATAAAAAATAGACCAAAATGCTGAAAGAAAAATATTTCTATTCAATTTCTGAAATCTTTTAGCTATTTTACTGCACGGACAATCATTTATTTATTTGCAAAAACAACTTCAATGGATAATATTATCCTTCAAGCTTCTAATTCAATTCTTCCTGCTCTAAGAGTCCACAGTAAGTGAAAAATCTAATAAAATCTTATTAGTTTTGAACTGTAAATCAATTAGTGGTTGAGTCCAACTGGACCATGTTATAATCAATTCTTGAAGGTAAATGGGATATCTTATAATCAGTTGAATTATAGTATTAAAACATTAAAAGGAAGAGATTCTACTTCTGAATTTCATTTCTATTGTTCAATTTATAACATTGAAATATTAAAATAATCCATAGCTCTAATATTTTCTTAAGACTTTTCTTCAAAAGTTAATTCCAAAATGCATGTACCCTAACGATCTGTATCTGAACTAATTATTTTATAGTATACAAATCTACTTTTTAACTAAAACTTGGAAATAATAGAAAATATAATAGCCATTTTAAAAAAATACAACAGTTTAAATCTTGACTAATCTCTCTAAACTGAACTGCCCAGAAATCTTTTTTATTTCAATGGGTCTATTTTTATTATGTCTTAATCATGAAATCCTTTACAATGACATTTATTCACTAATAAATACATGCAGCATGTACTGTATGCCTTCTTTGTAGGGTCCTCTGAATTCTAACTTTTATTTGACAGGCAGTCCAATCCATGTTTATTTTAAGAAAACAGAATCATAAGGAAGAAAATAGGAAGTTGCACCTAAATAATCAATTGAAAGGGATAGTGTATAAACCAATTGATTAATCTTCATCAGAAAGTATTGTATTTCACTTTCATTATAGTGAATTTTAGGTGTATTTTTATGTGTAGATAGCATATAAAATTCATATGCAAATAACATCAGATTTTTGACATTGTACAGGTAATCCTCAACTTATGATCAAAATTGAGCCAAGAATTCTGTTGCTAGGCAGGATAGTTATTGAGTGAATTTTACTCATTTTATAACCTTCTTGCCACAGTTCCTATGTTAATCATTGCAGTTGTTAATTTAGTAACATAGTTGATAAGTGAATCTGGCTTCCCCATTGACTTTCCTTGTCAGAAGGTTGCAAAAGGTGATCACATGACTCCAAATACGGCAACCATCATAAATAACATCAGTTTCTAAGCGCTGAATTTTGATCACATGATCACTTGGGAATTCTGCAAAGTCGTAAGTATGAAAAATGATCGTAAATCACTTTTTGATGCCATTATAACTTCAACAGTGACTGAACAAATGGTTGTGAGTCAAGGACTATCTGTATTTTATCTTTTTGCAATGAAGCTTAAGAATCCACACTATCTGGAAAATGTACAATAGGAAATCCAGACACTTTTAAGATAAAAAGGCCCTTAAGTGATTATTTACACAAAGATAGCACTCGGTTTGAATTGTTCAGCCTATAGGACCTATTGGGTCCATTTTATATACAGTCTTTTTATACACAAACACAGACATAGGTCAATTATTATAAAAAGATTTAAAATTATTTTATAGGAATATGTTTTCAGTTGACTAATTTCTCTGATAAGCTAGTAGTTTTATATAAATAGTTAAATAACATTTTGGCATACAGAGATTCACTATTAATGATACAAGTGTGAATATATGTCCTAGGAAGCCTATTTTACACATTACGTCTACCAGAACATTCCCTGAAAATTATGTAAAGACTGGATGCCCGAAAATGAGTGACGAAACTTTCTGTAAACAATCAGTCTAGTCTTGAAATGCAAGCCTTAAGAGCAATCATTCACATATAAAATTCCTTAGGATTCTTACAAAGCTAAGATCTGACAAAGCTCCCATTTGTTTCTGCCAGGTTTGATCTTAACTGTTAGAATTATTTGAAGTTTTTGTCATGTCACATAGTAAAAAAAACGGATGGGGGTCTGTTGATTACATCAAAGTTGTAGAGAGGTTAGATAACAATTTTTATTTGTTTAACTTTTATCTTCATATTTCCTTCCTAAAAAGAAAAAAATGGCACCCAGAAATCCAAGGATAAAAGTGTGGGAGCAGGATCAACTTAGAGAACAGAGAGGGGTGTATACAGTCCATGAGCTGCCTGCGCCTTCATTCATAAGGTCTCCTGAAGGCTAGTGATCAACCTTGTTTAAATAAAGGTCTTCCCACTTTAAGAACCTCAACACTGCTACATTCATTAAAATAATCTCTCCATGCAATGCTCAGTATAAGGATCACATTTCCCCATCTACAACATGCTTGTATCTGAAAATTTTAGATCAAGCAGGGCATAGATTTTATTCTTTACTTCCACAATATGAACAATATTCTTCTTGATCTCTTTGCCTTTTTCTCTTAAGAATGTTTGCCTAGGATTGATAGGATCCAATGCCATTCACCTCTATCTTCAAAAGTTCAAACTGCATTTATGGTGACAGCTCCATATTGGGCTGATGATGGCAAAGTGAGCAAATTAAAAATATGGTCTTCTTTTCTACATTCTTAAGTATGGTCACTTTGTTAGTCTGTTGCAGCAAAGACAACAGTCTTATAACACCATCAAAAATAACACATTAATTATTACATAATTTTTATGGTTTAGAAAGTTGATGGAATGAACTATAATTGGCAAAAGCATAAACTATAAAATGGGTTGGCCTTCATCATGACATAAGATTGATTTTCTTCCTATTGATAGTGCATGCTTAGAGTAAACAGCCATTTCTCATGATTTGAGCAAGATTAACAAAATCAGATAGATTAACAAACATAATAATAGAGTTTTAAAGGAGTTCATATAACTTCTTTTTTCTTGAAAGATTCTTTGTTTTCTACCTTATACTTTGTTGCTTTGATACTTATTAAAGTATAATTTAAGTCTTTAATAATTGCAAGGTGCCTGGTTTTTAGGTGATGCTTTTTATTGTTGTATAGTATGCCTTTCCACATTCAGAAGCTACCTGGCTATGCATACTTCCTAATCTGAAAAAAAGTCCCATTGGAAGAATATAATTCAAATGTAAGTCAGGCAGGCTGCAGACTGTTACAAAAAAAGTAAATGAAAATACATAGATCCAGCTCAAATATAAAAGATATTTTCTTTATCCCATATGCCAGCCCATCTTAAATTATTAGACAATCACAGTTATTAAGAATGGTAGAGGGAAGGAATGGTGAAACCGACAGCTCTGTCTGACTTCTATTGGAGAGAAAAACAATTCCATGCCTATTTAAAAAACAACAACAACAATGGACTACAATGGGGCCCACTTAACATGACTCAACCAATGAAATAAAATCAATGCCATAGGTTTGGAAGATTGCCTTGCAATAGTACTTTGAACTTTGTTGCTTTTTATTACAGTTTACCTGGAAGGAAAATTCAAGAATACAACCAGTTGTGATCAACAGTCTCTAGATTCCTCAAAATAAAGGACAAAGTTAAGAGGGAAGTTGCCACTATTGGCCAATTGTGTCAGAGAAATACAGTCTGCTTAATAGTTTCATAGGAAGGAAATTTCACCAGCAACAACTCAGCTAGTCTAGTTTCATGTGCGGAACATGCATTTGGAACAATTCTACATTTTTTCTGCATAATTGAATAGGTGGTACAAATGTGCCAAAATCTAAATGGCACTATGGTCAAGTTCTTTCATTTTCTTATATGGAGGACATCAGGATAAAAAAACTTTTACAAAGACAATGGAAGATTTAAAAAATACAATAAACAATCATATCATATCCCTCCCACTTTTACGCTGAATATTACCCTGGTACCTACCTTTGCCGTGTTATGAGGTTAATGTAATGCCTCAATGCTGAGTAGTACCTGGCCATATCTTCTGCAGGTGCATCCTCACCAGGGCTGTCTGGTTTAGAGGGATATGCTTCTGCCAATGTTCCCAGACAGATCAGCAAACACAGGGCAAGTGTCATCATGGAAAGCCACAACCGCATGGTCCCCTGCATCTGTAGGAAAACAGGAAATTGCAAGGGGGAGGAAACCAAAGGATTATTTCAATATTTCTCTGTTTCCTTCTCCCCCAGGAATGAAAAATGTGTGGTTACCAATCCTTTGCCTTCACAAAGATTTTTAGAAGAAGCTCATTCAGCTCTACTAAGTCACCATTTAGAGTCCATCTATGATTGGCTTATATGTCTACATAAGTACATAAATAAAGAAATAAAATTATCTGACCAGAGGCTACTTTCTAAAACTAGAAGATGATGGATAGAAATTTTCCTCTGTTGCTTGGAGAAATGCTTCTGTAACCTTATTAGCTTGCTTACTAGCCCTGTAATTATTTAATGTTGAGGGGAAACCTGTTTGTGGTTTGGCTTTAATGCATTACGAATTGCTAAGAGATTATTTTGGTTCATGAGCAGTATAGAACTCTTTTAAATAAAAAGAAGAAGAGAAATATAATTCCTCTGAATGAAATTACATTCTGAAGAATTACATCCAGGAAGACACTTGTATCAAATTCCTTTCCTTTTGTAGTGGCTGTTATTTAAAATTTCAAAACCTTTTTTCCCTGTGGAAACTGGGGTGTCTACACCCTATTATATCATTCAAAAAGGCGAAGTACAGCTATTTCATCTTTTCCTTCCTTAATGGATTTGCCCTAAAAAGAAAAATAGGATAGAAGAAACAATAGGATTAAAAACAGAAAACATCATGGAATCACCTTCCCCGCTAAGTTCCATCAATTGGCACAGGATTGCATATATTGTATGAGTTTGTCTAGATCTTCTCATGCGTATGTTTTATTTTTTTTAAATACCTAATTCTTATATGTTGTTTATAAAATTCATCTGAAAACTTACTACATTTGCAGGTTTGGTGCCAAATGTTCTCATTAGCTGCATAACAAAGAGGCATTGAAAATGATTGAAAATCTCCAATCACTGCTTAAAACTGAGCTCTAGAATTTGTGTCTGAATGTTAGGATAGTCTCCACATACAACACACACACACCTTTTCTTCCATTGTGAAAATGGAAAAATTAACATTGAGGTTCTTTGATTAAAAACAGATGTGGATTTACACTAGCTGCCCAACAAATCCTTTCCCAACCACACAGAAACTGATATAATCCAAAATTATTATATAATCCAGATGTTATATTCTTTTGAAAGTCTTGTTTATTTTATTGGGGGTTTGTTGGCTTGTTTTCACATTATTTTAACTTTTTCCCATAAACTGCTGATAACAAAGAAATTCCAGTTGCCTGAAAAGAAAAGAAAAGAAAAGAAAAGAAAAGAAAAAGAGGAGGGAGGAATATTTCTCCGGAAAGAAGTGGAAATAAATCGATGAAGATTCTCACTCATTCAGAGAGAGTTATCTGGAAGTTGAGTCATAGCAATTGGACTTCTTTTCTTTGGATTTGAAAGATTTCGCCTGCTTCTCCAACTAATCAACCTGAAGAAGCTTATGCTAATGCTTCAAATGCAAGAAAAGAAATCCAGTTGCCATGACCCAACTTCCAGACTAAAGGAAATAAAGGTATATTAGGAGCAGGCGGCACGTCTCTCTTATACGCCCGGGTCCTGGGAACCTAAATGGTAGGGATAAAAGTCCAAAGGAACTTAGCCATACTCTTCGACTGCTTCAGCATCGCGCGGGAAAAGTGGCGAGCTTTTAAAGCGCAAGAAAACGGCGCTGGAAGGAAAGCAGCTTTCCTCAGAAGGAACTGGTTGCCGAAGGAAAGGAGGTCTGAGGAACAGGGAAGGTAGTAGACATCGAGGAAACTCAGTCCGGTCGAATTTTCCGCGAGTAGAGGCGACTTTGCCTATCTATAAAAGAGAAGAAAGGGACGGAAAGAAACGATGCGATTCGGAACAGGCGCCTGCTCACCTTTTGTGTTGTGTGAGACTCTCGCTTGTTCTGCCTCTCCCGGATTGATATTGGGCGCTTTTCCTCGCCAATGGCTCAGCTTTCCCAATGTGGGGCTGCGCGCCTCGGCGAGGGTATTTTATGGCTCCTCCGGAAGGCAGGAGGGGCCTCGGGCGATCGCGCATGGGTGACTTCAACCCCCCCCCCCGCCCGCGGTTTCCTTAGTCTCTGTTTGTCCCGCGTTTGGCGTTGGAGGCAGCTTTAGCTCTTGGCGCTGTCTTGGGAGGGGGCGCAAAGCTGTTGAGTCAGAGGCTCTTCACCTCCCTGCCGCTATCGGACAATTTTAAGTGAAACGAACAAACCGGGGGGAAATATTTTTCTCCGATTTTCTGCCGAGCGATACATTTTCTCAAGGCTTCGGCAGATCCACTGGTCTCTTTGGGGAACTACTGAATCCAATAGTTGAGCTGAAGCTTCTTGGATGAGAAGCGAAAAGTCTTTAAAGAAAAACAAGAAAAAAAGCAATTTTGGGACAATCTGGATGACTGAGAATCTCCATAACATTTAGCTATTGAATCCAAACTTTTGAGGCAGGATAGGTCTTTAGCACGCCTTTCCATCAGCCTCCTTGCTTTCCTTGCCTTGACTGTTTCCCAAATGTGTGGAACTATATTTCAGCCACTGTTCTTTGGGGAACCCAACACTATTGAAAGGCTCTGGGTGAGATGGCTGGGTTTTATTGTGCAGTATAGTGGGACACATGAATACATCCCCAACATTCAGGAGAGATGGCATTTGACAGCAGCAACTGTAGACTTCAAAGGGGAACCCAAAGCTGCTTTTTTCAAGTGGCGATGGATCTTCTGGTTTTTCTTCAAAGATGTTTTGCTTCTTATCAAAGAAGCAAAAGTCTTCAAAGAAAAACCAGAAAATCCAGTTGCCTCTTGAAAAAAAGCACCTTTGGGACAATCATGACCTGGATGACTGAGACTCTCTATAGACTGCAAAGGCAAAATTTCTTCAAGGGTGCACCAAGAATTTGCATCTGTCTGGTCCCTGGGAGGCAGCATCTCTAGAGGCTTGCACTCTTCTTTTTTCTGCCAACATTGATCTTGAAATTGAGAACACAGTCATCCCATGAACATTGTGCTAAATTTCAAATCTAGAAATGGAATCATGACAAACTAAAGCTAAACAATAAACCCTGTTGGTTGTTGCCAGTTGTCCCATCAGGTAAGGCCAAGTGACTTTAGAATTCCATCAATTTGCACAATCGTATCTCTTGATTCACCTGCTACTTTGTTGACATGAAGATTAACTCATGGACCAAAGAGTAAGAAGAAACATAATGAGAAGTTTATGGAAAAAGTTAAATGTATACTGTTTCATACATTCATACATGCTACTTTTTCTAGATTTATTGGTGTGTATGATCTACTGAGAACACCAATAAAGACATTTCTATTTCACACATAATATACACTAAATGATGGTGAAGGTTTTTTATTTATGTATTTATTAAATTTGCTCCACATCTCACCTCAAGGCAACTCTGCTTACAACATGCAGTTTTTACATTTACTAAAACTGTAATGTAATGAGAATTGCAGATTTGCTCATCTTTGCAAGTGAAAGGAATGGTTTATGTTTTCTTGCAAAAATTTGAGATAACATGAATGTACCCTTTGTTTCAGTTGGAAATAGGAAAGAATAGAATAAGAGTTGGAAGGTACCATGTACGTCATCTAGTCCTGCTCAAGCAGGAAACCCTATACCATTTCTGACAGATTGTTGTCCAATTTATTCTTGAAAGCTTCCAGTGATGAAGCCCCTACAAGCAAGCTGTTCCATTGGTTAAGTGTTTTCATTGTCAGAAAATTTCTCCTTATTTCTAGGTTGAATGTCTCCTTTTCTTGGCCCACCTCCTTCCCCCTCCGACTTCCCAGAGCCCGTACACGGTATAGATTTTTAACAAACACAGTCTAAAATATATTGAGAAAAAAGAAATTAAAAAAGGGTTAATAACATCTCTACATTGATCTTAGCTTCTTCTTGCTACACTAACTTTGAACAGTTTAAATCATTCCTGATCTTAAGCATAGGCTATCTGGAATTTCTTAGTCCCATATTTGTTTTGTATATAGTCAATCCATTTTTTCCAGTCTCGTTTATATCTTTCATTTGAATGATCTTTAAGATATGCCGATATTTTAGCCATCTCGGCTAAATTTGTAACTTTCAATGTCCATTCTTGAGTTGTAGGCAAGATAGAATATATTAAAGGGTGTACATCAGTGGTGGGTTTCAAAAATTTTTAGAACCTCTTCTGTAGGTGTGGCCTGCTTTGTGGGAGTGGCTTACTGGCCATGTGACTGGGTGGGAGTAGCTTGCTGGCCATGTGACTGGGTGGGAGTAGCTTGCTGGCCATGTGACTGGGTGGGAGTGGCTTGCCAACCATGTGACTGGGTGGGAGTGGCTTGGCAGTCATGTGACTGAGTGGACATGGCCAACTGTAAAATGTGATGAAACTCACTTAACAACGCTCTTGCTTAGCAACCAAAATGTTGCCTCAGAAACTCTGGCATTTGAAGCAGGCAAGTCTTAAAGCTGTCAAGTTACAAGACCCTTGCACCTCTAATCCTTTAGAAAAAAAACCCAGGAGTGTTCAAACTTGACAGCTTTAAAGCTTGTGGACTTACACTCCCAGAATTCCTCCTCTCGCTCTTCATCTTGATGATGTGCGGATGGACAGGGGGAGGGAGCTGGAACCAGTTCTAAATGACACTGTATATTTGTAGAACCTCTTCTATAGAAGAGGTTAGAACCGGCAGGAACCCACCCCTGGTGTACATGATTAAGATGATTTGTGAGATTAGATGTGGAAAGGGAGAAACTGTTTAGAATGAAAGTGACATTTTTCTTAAAGGCCATTTGTAGTTGTTTATATTGATTGTCCTCTCATCCAGCTTCCTGTTACTTATGTTTAAAACCCAAATTCAGGACACACCAAAAAGAAAAATATATTTTCCTATTTTTAAAAACTTAATGATGCTACATTACAATGGCCACTGCCTTAGATGGATTAATTTATTTAAAAAAAGAGAGAAGTCTATCCACAGTCATGATGAGCTCAAGTATGGAAATCTTTCATATTCAGAAAGATAATATTCAATTGTATACAACTGTCAGTTATTAAAAGGATGAAATGACATAAGCCACCCAGAGTTGCCTTGGGCTGAGATGAGAAAAAGAAAGGAAGGAAGGAAGGAAGGAAGGAAGGAAGGAAGGAAGGAAGGAAGGAAGGAAGGAAAGAAAGAAAGAAACCAGTCCTGGAGATTTCCCTCTTCCCAGTAAATGCGTGCATGTGTCTCATAGATAGGTATGTATCTGCCAAAAAAGTATAGGGTAGAAAGAAAAAAATACTTCAAAATAATTAAAGTAATAACTACTGATTAAAATTAATTGCCTGTAAAATAAAGTTCCCCAATGATAGGTCCCCAGGTGCATATATCAGCCATTCTGTTACGCATATAGAGACACATAAACTTACACTGCCTTTTCTCCTTCCACAAAGAAGAAAACATAGGATGGAGATGGGATAAGAGGAAGGATTTAATGCACTGGGAAGAAAGAAAATTAACCTGTGAAATTCATTATCACAAGATGTGGTAATGACCATTTTCTTGAATAGCTTTAAAATGGGATTGGATGGAATTGTGAAGGGCATGTTTATTATGAGCTAGTAGTACTGATCTACTGATGAATATTTTCAGGAGAACATTATTAGCAAGAGAGGAATGGTCTTTTCTTGTTTGCAGGCAGCCCAGAGGCATCCAGTGATGGTGGAAACAAAAAAATTAAACTGGATCCTGGTCTGATCCAGTAGAATTTTTTGATCCTGTGGAAAGAAAAAGGAGGCAACACAAAACTGAAGCAGAAATAGGTGAACAAAGGAAGAAAGAAAAGATGCTTAGGCATTATTCAAACATTGCACTGATGTCCAGCAACCTTAATTAGAGGAGGTTTGTAAAATTTGTAATATTGTTGAGCCCTGCATTCGTGGGAGTTGAGTATTTTAATTCAGAACTTCTATTGCATTACCAGTACGGCAAATCAATAGTTTTAAAGAAACACACTTGAAAATCAGGATTATGTACACATATAAAAGGAAGGATTGTGAACTTTTAAACATTATTTCCCCCACCACCACCAATTTCTTTTTAAGTGATAGAAGCAGGTGTTTGCTTAAATGCAAAAATCTGCTATTGCCAGGTGAAGTTTAATTTTAAGATATTAGATTGGCAAATTTGCCCACTGCCCTCCAGTCATAGAGATCAGACTTCTTGTGCTATGTTAATTTACAGCAACCATCCCCAATTTTAAGTTATCCCAGATTCCCAGGCACTATGACTATATAGAAATATGAGCCCTGGTGGCAGTTTGGCTAAAGTACAATATTGCAGGTAAATTCTGCCCACAGTTTGGAGTTTGATTTGATGGAACTCAAGGTTGACTCAGTCTTCCATCCTTCCAAGCTGAGTCAAAATGAGGACTCAAATTGCAGGTGGCTATATGCAAATAATGCTTACATTGTAAATCCCCTAGAGCAGAGGTGTCAAACTCAAGGCAGTCTGCCAGAGAGGGGGCAGATCTGACGCATGGGCCACATTAGAAACAGCAAAGGACCTGCTCGCAGTGCCTCTGCCAGCAAAAATGGACCTTGGGAGCCTCTCCGGTGGCTGGGAAATGTTGGATGGCCCTGGCTCTATCTCTACATCCAACATAGATCATCCATCATAGCCTTCCCTAGACTCCAGAACTGGCCCAAGTCCCTCCCCAATCTCCTCATTTTCTGAGTCTGCCACCAGCTCTGCTGGTTGCTGGCAGGCCACAACAGAGCCTGTTTTTGCTGGGCCACCATTGGCACTCCCGACATGAGTGACATTAAGCTGGCCACACCCACTGTGGCTATGACCACCCCACCCTCCAAGGTCAAACATAATCCTGATGCTGCCCTCAATAAAATGGAATTTGACACCCCTGACCTAGAAATGTCTTGCAGCTAGACAAATCTTCCTTCCTATTCAGTTGTGCAACTTCTAGCTA